GCACAGAGACTCGCCGCGCGAGTGCCAGGTAAAAAAAAGTTTGGCGAAAGGGATTGGTTCCCAAGCTCGCAGAGTTGTTCAATGATCGTGGCAAGTCCCACAACTGAGAAATGCAGTTGTTTTATGTTGTTTTGCTCTGGACTCCTCTGGACTGCTGCCATCAGAGTTCCCGCCTGGATCTACATTTTCACGCGCCACTAGTGTCAGCCTGCAGGCCTGAGCGTCGAGCACAGGACGAGAGCAGCTGAGGAAGTTTTGCTTGGTTCCCAGATTGCCATACCCAGCCTGGGGCTGCCATTTTTTAAAAGTATTCCGCGCATTTCAAGAGCTAGGCTGTCCAGCCTCTGTAAATAGAAATCTGATGAACACATCCGGAAACTAGTAGAGTTTGAGGCAGTCTTATAATTTTCATGAACCATGTACAACATAAGGCTTGCCTGACGGAGAGGTTACCAGAAAGTTGACTGCTTGCATCCGCACTCAGGTCCTCAGGCTCATGACAAAAAGAGGCCAACAATTCAAAGTGTACAGAGGTGTGAATGCATCACTGGTAGAGGATAGGCGGTGGCTTTGGTCTCCACTTTTGGACACTGGCTTACAATCTTTGAAACTACACTTGTTTTCTAGTGATGCAACTTTTTGCATTTGGGCTATTTGAGATTTCACTCCAACTACGTGTACCCTTTCAAAGAAAGGGCACAGCCGCAAGTGGACTGCATGGCCTGCTTTGATGGCTAAAAGGATGGCTCTCGTCAACGCGAGCTGGCTGATGTGCTGGGGAATGTTCAAGAAGCCAGAGTTCCTTATTCTATGGGCAGGTTTCGAGCAACCCCATTTCTTGGTCAAGCTGAAGTCAAGCTGGGCTTCATTTCGACATTCAGCTTCCAGTTTTTTTGATTCAGTTGAATTTGTGCCCATCTTTGAAGCCTTTGGTCCATCTACTTCACCCTATGGCTCTCAGCAAGGGGGGATTTGCTACACCGAAATGGTTGGGGCAAGTTCTTCGGCCAAGGTGCGGCTTGGTGTTTGGGACACGCATGTGCTTAGGCAATTGTTTTCAAGTGCATAAAGTCCAACGTATTGGATACTCCAAGGCTTCAATCGTCAACCTCTTGATAGAACCTTGGATGTCATTTTCACGCTGGTTGGTTCCGGAGAGGGGTCATTTCCATTTTTCACAACCAAAAAGGCATATGATCTTTGATTTATATTGATTTATGATGATTTTTTTATACCAGTCACCAGCCCCGTTTGATGCCTGGTGCTTCGAGTTTCCATCAGGAGCCCAACCGCCCACCGGCCTGGGACCAGGCTGAGGCAGGAAGTCGGTGACAAAAAGAAAGGTCTCCAGTGTCTAAAGCCAGTTTTTTTTTGACTTCTGCATGAGAACAGCCAGTGACTTTTTTTTAAAGCCCTGTTAGGTGGTTGTGGTACCTTTCTGATGAGGTTCACTTTTTGATGCATTTTGGGAATCCCCCTAGGGGCCTTCCATTCACTCCATTCCTGTTTCATCTCACACCCGAGGAGCTGGTAGCTTTGGACCGTCTGCGATTCCAGCATTTACACCGAGTGATTTATGCCCACAGGCGATGGCCACTGGGATGAAGATTTGAGTTGGTGCTATCATTGATCACATCCCGGCCATACCCAGATGATCCCAGATGAATATGCCGTAAACCAACGGAATGGAGAAGACCCTTCATCCAAGATCATCCAAGCAAAATCTTTTTTGGGTAACCAACGGAATTCGAGTTTTTTTTCAGAAGAGGCAGCGAGTGGAAAATGCGGAGTCCTACTATGACGCTGGGGCCTTGGTCGTCTTGGTCGTGTGGAAAATGCCTTGCGCACCTCGTGGTAAACTCAATGGTAAAGCATACCGCATTTACCCAATTTGACCAAATTTGACCATGTGGACCATGTGGGGGCTCTTGAGAACCATATTCAAAGAGGGGCTTTGTTCATCTTTTTTCTATCGAGCGCTTTGGACAGATGTGTTGAGCTCGGGATCTCAGGTCTTGGAGACAGAGCGGCAGGCGGAAGTCATGCACGCGCGTCGGCAGCTTGGGAGATGCTCTGCCATTTTTTTTGCGATCAGATCCTGATCAGATCCTGATCAGATGAGATCCTGATGTGTCCTATTTACCTCTTAAATAATTTAAAATACTTTAAATACAGGCTTCCAAAGCTTTGACATTCCTTCAAGCCTTTACCTTGGGAGGTTGATGCATTTCATGGTTGGGCATCCGGAAAATCTGAAAGAGGACCCCCTGTAAGTGGTCTGAAAGCTCTGGTTTCCTTGAAAGGTAGCCTCAAATCAATGCATTTATCTCCACTTATGAGATTTCAAATGCATTTTTTTCGTAAAACCTATTCAAATGATTTTCAAATGATTCTAATATTCTAATGATATCCATATCCATTTCATATTTGTTTTTAATGGGATTCAGGATTCCATTCATATTTATAATAAGTTATCATGGAATTATTGAAATCATGATTATAACCTTGATAGATCTTTATAGTTTATAATCCATTGATATATCAATATCCATTTATAGTTCAGGATTCTCCAGAAAAATCCAAGGCCCGAATTTCGGCACGGCATCCGTGGCATCCATGATCACCAAGGCACCGAAGCCATGCGCATTTCCAGGGCCAAGCGAAAAGAGGTGGCCGTGGACACGCTGAAGCGCGACAACCAACGAATGGTGGAGCGCCTCTGCGTGGTGAGAAGCCCAGATGAAGCCCTGTGGAGATGGTAGGATTAGACACATCTCATATATACGTACAACATATATCTAGACATAATATAATACGCTATAATATAACATAATATAATATCATATCACATCATATCATATATATATATAATACAGTATAACAGAACATAATGTAATATATTGATATACATGTATATATAATATAATACAACACACACACATATATATATACAACACACACACATATATATATAGTATAAAATATAATATAATATAATATAATATAATAATATAATATAGTATAATATAATACATTGGTATACAATAATATAATATAATACATTGATATACATGTTACCATGATATGTACCAACGTCAATAACATACAATTATTTACGTTATCATAGATCATGATATATATTATAACACCTACTGTCATTGTATATCATTGATATATTATATATACATACACATAATATATATATAATATATATATATATATGATATCATTCTTGGATGTATTTGTTCCGACACCATACAAAATACTTCTCTTCTTCGTTCTTTGAAGACCATTGTGCAAATGTCGTCTGGAAGGTTCAGCATTGGCATTTTCCAAGCGAGGATACGAACTTGTATTCCCAATAATGTGTTAAAACATGTTACTGTAAGCATCATGCCACAAGCTTATTTGATTTGGGGATGGTAGTTTATACCATCCCATTCTCCAGAGGTGGTCGGAAGTTCAAAAAAACCCTGATCTCTGACGTCGATTTTGCCTTGATTCATTCCGTTCAATGTTTCATAGAATTGGATGATGGGAAAATTTACAGGAAAGCCCTATATTTGATGGTAAAAACCATGGTTTCCTGTAGATTTTCCCTTAAACCAATCCATTGAATGTTTGATTTTGGGGCTGACTAGCCTCCCCGAACCCTCAGTCCACTGGTGACTCCTCAGGTGATGCGCGAGTCCGAAAGTCGGCAACATTCCCTGGCCTCAAAGCCTTCGAAGCCGCCCGGCTCTGCGCCGGCAGGTGCGAAAATATGGGCATTGGATGGGTCGAAATGTTGCCATCGCACCCCTTAAAGGATGATTTCATGATGTTTGAGATGGTCTTTTTGGAAGAATCCCAGTGGCAATAGATGTCTTGGGATTGATGTGTCAAGACGAATCTGCTATGAAGTTGACGGATGTCAGATTAAGTGGATGTTTCGTTGAATGGTTGTGAACCTTAGAATGACAAGATGCGAAGGGCATGTCGAGCTGTGCTGTGGCTGCTTGATCTTGATTGGGATAGCAGTTGCTGATGCCAATCTTCGTCGCAGGCTCGTTGAACCTGAGCTATCGAAAGAAAGCTGCTAGACAGATAGATCAGGACAACAAGGTCTTGTTGGATCGGCTGATTCGCCGGGGCCTTGGCTTTGCCCTTTGGTTTTTCAAACATGGCTAGCTGGGAAATCGCTCAACGAAATGGAGGTTTTGATGGGAAACTCATCGAACTAAATCGAAGAGTTTCCAGCAAGACATGTTTGATTCTCAGAGAGATTGTTATTTTATTGTTATTTCTTTAATATTTATTGTTATCTATTGTTATTTATCCCATTAAACCTCCATTTATCCCATGATTCCCATTACATAACCATTAAGTCAGCATTGAATTAGCTGTGTTGGATGCAAAGCCAGGTATCCGACCCACAGTGAACACTCGTGAGGAGCTGGAGTCTCGCTACCAGGCCTTCAGAAAGATATTGGTATGGATCAATACCTATTAATACCATTTTTAGGGGAATGAACATCCATTTACCAGCTATTTTGATGTTCACCAGGGGTACAAGGTTTTGACACACTGCCATATGAGTTTGTCTTAGATAATGCAGACGATCCGAAGGAAAGGAAGGAGGGAGCGCTCCGAAAAATTTCTCTTTTTGAGATTTTTCATAAGGGATTTTTTAGGCGTATTGAAGGAAGGGATAAGGAAGGCAAATTAAGGGCCCCAATAGAAGGGCCCGTGCAACCATTCCCTGAACTGAGCATTGACATCGTGGCAGGTCTATTCCTCTCTCGTGCACAGGCCAGTAACACAACTGCTGGTGCTTTCTTGTGGGGACTGTTTGAGGCTGTCGATGGATCAGTGACGCGTTTCTTGATGACCACTGCTGGCTACTTGTCATTCTGTGTTCCATGCAGCAATAGCCCGGTCGAAGCTCCTACCGCCCTTTTCAAGGCATTCCAGATTGCGACGCCCCTTGCACAAGGCAGATGTCTTCAGGACGGCTTTAGATGAGCATTCTCAGAATTTGGTTAGTTTTCATCTTTCGCCTTTCGCCATTGGGTTCCTTTATGTTCCTTTCTAAGATTTTGCGCTTCTCTCCCAAGTGATGCAGGATCCCCCCACCGCCCATACGGCCGCCACGAAACTCGAAGCGGAAAGCGTTGGAGGCTGCGCTGAAGTGTGAAGACTGTGAAGACCACTGATGACATCGGAAATTGTTGAAAAGTTTTGGATCCAAATGGGTATGGGTCAATACCTATAGATACATTTTTAGTGGGATGAACATCCATTTACCAGCTATTTTGGGGTTCACTAGGTACCAGGGTTTTGACCCATCCCCAAATGATTTTCCGATGGTCCAATTCGAGCAACTCCGAAGGCGAGACCGCGAGGTGCAAAGTGCTCTGGTTCCAAAGAAAAGGCACGGAGGGAGAACAGGGAGTAGACTTGTTCCTGGTATGGAATCATTGGGAATGTGCTCAACCAATTTCAATTTACTGGGTCTTTTGATGCTTTGACTTGCTGGCATCCCATTCATTTTGGTCTTGTATGGTCTTGTCCCTTCTGCCAAGGAGCCTTCTGCGAAGACAGCGGAGGCTTCTGGGCGGAAATCAAGCACGCCCGAACCACTGAAGAGCGCCAAGCAGGCGCGATGGGAAGATTGGGTGGTGAAGGTCCAAAGGTTGGGACCGTTGGGATGTGGAGATTAACAGCTAAAATGATTTGATCCACTGGATTTTGTTGTTGATTTAGGGTAGACTCACCCAAACATGTGTCTTAAGTTTGAAATTCACCTGGCGTGTTCCGATCCAAATCCAATTTTTTCGTTAGTCAGCAGGCAGCTCGGACAGAGCTGGAAAAGGTGAATCAAAATGTCTTGCAGAAGATCAAAAGCGAAAGTGAAGGAGCCGCAGAAGGGGTCAGATTTCAGTCATTGGTGGGTGACACTGCTTGGCTTAACAGCTAAAGAACCTTTCGTTGGAACGTTGTGATTGAGGTAGCCAGAGCAAACTCTTTGGTTTTCTTCATGTCTGACCCCAAATAGGTTATTCTTCGAGTTTGAAAAGGCTCTGTATGACACTGATCACTGATCACTGATCACCACAAAGGCATATATGCTGCGCTAAATCGCATTTGCATCAAACAAGTGCTTCCTCAAAGCCACAGACCCATGCCCTGAGGACTGCCGGAGGTGTATTCCCAAGAATTTGAGAATGAGGCGAGGCTTTGCAAAATTTGGCGAGAAAAGGGGCATCCTTTGTTTGGTGCTTCTTACACCCCTACTCAGTTGCGCTCCAAACCGCTAAGACGCAGGATGAGTCCGTGAAGCCGGACAGGACCGAGACCCCGGAGCCGGTGCGGAATGCCAAGCAGGTGGGCTAAGTCCTGTTTGCAGCGAGTTTCTCTGTCAGATCTGGGATTGACTTTGGCCTATCAGGCCTATCAGGCCTATCACGTCAATTGACAGATGCTGCAATGATCATTGGCAGGTGGCACATGCAGAACTGGAGAAGCTGGAACAGCATGTGCTCGACAAGATCCACAGCGAAGCAAAGCCTCAACAAGGCAACGTTGAAGGTGATAAAGCAGAGTTAAGATGCTGATAGATGGATTTTCGATTGGATTTTTGAGGAGGGTTCGGTGCAGTTCCTCTGGTTGACTTGGGGTTTTGGGGCTGAACCACTCTGAAAGGGCTTTCAACTCCGCAAAGTCTCAATATCTTTCAATGTGTGCATGCCATCAGGCAGCAGCCACTTTTCCAGGCCTGCAGAGCTTCCGCCAGGTGAAGATGGCGAGTCTGAAAACTACTCAGACTTTGAGAGCGAGGATGATCAGCTCCCAAAGGTGCGGCTGATGGTGGAAAGGTTGGAAGGCCGTGACACAGCTGGGAGTTCCTGCTCCCAAGCCAAACCAAACAGAGTGTTGTTGATAGTCTAAACTGTCTGAACCCATCTTAACCCTAAGTGCCACCAGAGATGGGCTTGGGCTGTTCAATACTACTCTGTCTGACAGAGCATCTCACGTAGCTTTTGAGGCAAAGAGCAAAGTTCAGCCTTCGCCTGCTCTGGAAGAAAGTGAGGACTCCCCCACTTTCTTTTGAGTGCATAGCTCATCCAACCCCCAAATTATCGAAAAAAAACATTCCAGTTGAACCCAACGGACTTTTTAGGACTTTATCTGAGAACCTTGGATCCTACACACCCCTTAGATCCGCTTGGCTACACCACTTGAGTCACTTGGCAGGAGTATGAGGATGACTATGAAGCCGATGATTACAGCGACGCCTTTGAGGCAGACGACGATTCCTCGCATCTGTCGTCCCCCAGGCTCTCTCCCAAGAAGCCGGCCATGGCAAGCACCCGAGAGGAGGCCAGTGATGAGGAACTGGAGCCGGTGGAGCCAATGAAACCAGAGCCGGTGGAGCCAATCAGGGTGGAGGGAGAAGCAGCTCAGAGTGAGGACTTTGAAGATGAATTTGAAGCTGAGTCTGACCGACCTGGATCTCAAGGATCACAGGCTTCACCTGATGAGTTTGAGCCCATGGATGCCATGGATGCCATGGATCGGATCGGATCTGATCCAGTTGATAATGTGCCCTCCATCAGATCTGATGGAACAGGCGGTCCAGCTCACAGTGATGAAGTTGCGATTCAAGCTTTGAATGAGCATGTTACTGCAGCTGCCAGTGAGAGGAGTACAGCTCAGAGTGATGAAGCCGCAATTCGACCCTTGAACGAGCATGTGACTGCAGCTGCCAGTGAGAGGAGTATAGCTCAGAGTGATGAGGCTGCGGTTCGGGCTTTGAGTGAGCACGTGACTGCTGTAGCCAGCGAGAGGTCTAGGAACCAAGACTTCAATCCACCTCCCACGAACCAGAAGACAACTGGGACAAATGAAGCCAACGAGACAAATGAAGCGAATGAAGTAAATGCGGAGGTGAACGAAGTCAATGAGGCGAAGGAGGTGCATCAGATCAGCAGGGACTACTCTGACTTTGAGGCCAGTGAATCCCAATCTCCTGGAAAGGATGGAGCCCGCGGCACCACTCCCACTGTCGGCACCGTCGCTAGTGCCACAGGTGCCACAGGTGCCACGAGTGCCACGGCAGCCACTGGGGCCACAGGTGCCACAGGTGCCACAGCTGTAGGAATCACTGGTACCACCTCCAGCTCCATCGGTATCGGCGGTGCCGGTGGTGCGAGTGCTCCTAGTGCTGCTAGTGCTGCTAGTGCTGAGGTGGCACCACCCAAGGCAATGCCTGGCAGGGGATGGTCGGAGAATTTCGATGATTTTGAGGAGGATGGCAATGATGGCAATGACAACCTGGGTAATGAACCTGAAGATAGTGGCTGGGATCGCGAGCCACGTGGAGGCTCCCATTTGCTTGATGATGGAAGTCCCAGTGGGGCGCTGAGAGATGGAGTCTTCCTATATATAGGGAGGAGGCTCATCATGATACAGACCATCATATAATTTCCGTTGAGCCAATAGATGAATTCTCAACATTTTTTTGAATTCGTTTGTGCGATTGTGATAATGTATCAACAATGAATTGGCAGCGATGAAAGCGCGAGGTCGCATGTTCGGCAGCAACGATGATGACAGCATAAGGGAAGATTCGGGAGAGTCGGCACCTCGCTTTCGCAGATGCTTCTTGTAGTTTGGTCAATGCCAGTGGCAAAAAACAAACTCATTGGTTGTCTCCTGCTTTCAGGTCCTTGAACTTCAATGGATGATTCCTGAGGCAGCTGTTGGGTTTGGACAATGGTGTGGGATGGTGTGGAAGGGGCAGTGGTAGCTATTTTTTGAGTCGGGTAGAGTTTCGATGAGATTTGCTTTTGCCTGTGATTCGCAAGACAGGAATCATATCCAGAGTCGTTTTGATTCATTTTGATTCATTTTGTAGTATTGTTGGTATGTCCTTTCTGTGTTTTTCAGGGTCAGAGGGAAGACACCGAATTCTTCGTGGATGGAGGCGAGTAGGATCGTTCTGGTCCTGGCCATGCTGAGACACTTCAAAAGGTGTGCCCGCAGGGGCGATTGCAACCCCTGGGAAGCTCGGCTTTCCTTCGCAAATGTCAGAAAATTAAAGACGCCACACATTTCAGTGAAAGTGTCCAGTCTTCACCAGTCTTCCCGGGTCTATTTTTTTTCAGTCCAATGAGACTTAGACTGCCAACACGGCGGTAGATTCCAATACTTCTTCAGAGGTCTCACCGCATTCCTTCCTGCATATCCCGGGCAACAGGACCACCTGGGTTCGACGCAAACCGGGGTGTGAAGCCAGGCACTGTACGAAGTGTGTCAGGGCCTTCCACCAAGTGTGAGATGAAGGTCGCTCCTCGGCGCATCATGAAAACCTGACTAAGACTTGCACCATCATTGCGACATCCGAGTTGTTGATTCTCCCACTCTTGTAACCTAGATATGACTAGCTGTGGCACGGTGTCAGCTGGCGCTTGTCACGCGGAAAAAAACATCAGCACCCAGCACCAGCATTTCAGAATTGCCCTGCAACCGCCCATCCCACAACAAAACCGAAGGGTGGCTGGAAGATCCTTTATGAATGGAAGTTTTAATGGAAAATCATTTGTAAATGGGGGATGATAAGTGTTCGGTATAGTCTTAGCAAAAAATGCCCAGAAATTGGCCGTCGCTGTCTCCAAACTCTGGAAAACGCATGATACTCTTCATGGCATTTTTCGGCTTCAAAAGCTTTCATTAAAGTCATGGCATCGAACCAATTTCAGCACATTGAGCGCTTGAATCTGTTCAATCATGGGCCTTTTCCTCCGACAACCAGGGACACTTCCTTGAGGGGGCTCTGGCCAAAAGAATCAGCTTAGCATTTCAAGCAGCTCCAAGCAGTCCACTGGAAAGGATCAAATGAGTTCAAATGAACAGTCGGCCAGCGCGAAAAGGTTATCTTACTTCCGTGCCAAATCAGGGCCTTTTCTTTCGAATAAATCTTGGCTGCAATCATCAAAGCAAGAGTAGGTACAGCTCACCCCCGCTATTTATCATCGGAGTACCAGCGTATAGCCCGTCTGTGTTTGTTACTTAGTCACCCCATGCAGCGTGGGCTGCGCAAATGAGTTGCGATGGCGCGAAGATGGCTCTTGCTGCTCCTGTTGCTGAGATGTGATGCCCAGGAATCTGACCTCCTGGCAGAGGCTCTGCACCAGCCTCTGAAACCGAAGAATGATGTTGGTATGGGGTCAAAGTTGGGTATACACAGTATGCACCCAAGTTTTTGGATTCCACCTGGTAGGGTCACTCTCTGCTCGTTCGCAAATGTGGAGTGCCAGGTAGCTCGACTCAAAGCGGAGGTGGAACGCCTCAAGGCGGGGCTGGGATGGCAGCTGGGATAGCCTCCTGCGCCGCATCGCATGGGGGTTGGGGACTTCAGACTGCGAGGCACCAAACGAAAGGATTTAATCGCTGCAATGTGACAGGTGCAGAGCAAGTCATGTTCTTCGACTCTTTTGTATCTTTCTTGGAATCTGCCGAGAGTTTTGCGATGCCAAGATTATAGCAGGGCGCATCAGGGCGCCAATTTCCAGGATTTGAGTTCTCATTCCCACCAGCTTTTCAGCAAGCAGTGGCTCAGTGGCTAGTGTAAAATGACCACAGCTCTTTGAACTTCCTGCAGCCGGGCTCAAAGTTGGAGGTTTCCATTTCTTGGTTTTTCGCCATGGCCAGGAAAGGAAGCACTGACCATTTGCGCTTCGGCGTGCCCGATACTGCACCGGTGAAGCCGACCGACCTCTCGGCACGGGAGATTTCCATCACCCTTTCCATGATCTACGCGGTCAGCTTTTTTGAAGGACGCGGAACGGAGGCTTTCTGGAAGTATTTGTGGAGGCTTTGGAGCTTGTTTGTTGGCTTTTTTAAGCCGCATAAATCAATGAAGTGATGCAAGATTTAGGGGCCAGCCGGGATGTAAAAGAACGATAAAGGAACTCCAAGACATCTATATAAAGAGATGAAGAGTGAAACTTTGATGGAAGAAAGGCTCAGACCTCCTGCATGAATGGATCTCATCCTGTGGGAAGGAGCTGACATGCAGCTTTTGCCTGCATCTTTCCGAGCACTGGAGGGAGACCTGGGTTTGTCTCCAACGACCTTGGCTGCATCCTCCTTGATGCAAACGCTTACCTGCACCTCAGCTGTGACTTCTACCTTGAAAAACTGGCCCTTGTTGGAGACGATTTGGGGAGATTTGGGACCACAAAAGATCCATTACCGTGATTTTGTTCAGTTTGTTTTTGACTGTGACTCTGTTCTGGAAGCATTGAGGCGCGACATTCTCGGTTTTTTGGGGCGTACTTTTGGACAACGGCATCCTGTCTCCTCAGCAAGTGCTTTTTAGTGGCTGCAGCGGATGGGGCGTGCTCACCCTTCTTTTGGCCTCAATCACTGACACTAGCCACCTGGCCCACCTGGCTCAGAAAAGGAATGGATTGTAGAGAACTGTTGGATTCGGCCCACGACGCATACCTCATTTTGCAGCCCATGCAACATAGGAGGAAGAAAGGTATGAATCCTTGGAAGTTTGTAGTATCTTGACCCCTTGACCCAGAGCTTTTTCAGATGAGGCTGGATCTTGGTGCTCCGTTTGTTCAACGGGATTGCCCTAGCAACGCTTTCGCCCACGACGCAGACCCTGATAGCAGACCTGACACCTCCACAGGAGCTCAGCTGCTGGGGCACTGTGGGATCCACAGTGAGTGTTGAGACTAAACTTGCAAAGTGCCATTCTTCCCGCGCGAATTGTTGCAAATCCTGGAAGAGAGAACAGAAATTCCACTGAACTAGCATATACATCCATATTCATATACTACATAGATTATGATATATATATAACATATATATATATATATGTAAAAACTCCTGCAGTAAAACCATGTATTGTATATATCATCGATCTGCCCGATAGCGTTGGTTCAAAAGAGCTGAGTGCTTAACGGTGTTAGCTTAGTATTTCACCCCATTGTCGGTTGACCTGGTAAAATACAGGTTATCAGCCGTAGTCTCACTACTTTGCTATGGGGACCCCAATTGACCATCCTCTCGCCGTTCCAGGGTCAGGTCCATCGGCTGTCGCTGTGCCTAATATGGCCGGGGGCAACCCCGAGCCGATGGATGACGAAACAATGTTCCAACCCGTTGTTGCGTACTTTACCTTCATACAAAACAACCTGTCCCAGATTACTAGTGGGAATACCCTGCAAGTCATGAGGGAAGCTGAACAGAGGCACCTTCAGATAATGCATGGAGTAGTTGACTCAATTCGAAACGAATGGTCAAGTAGACTCGTAATGCAGGAGCAGGAGTATGAGCAAAGGCTGCAGGAGGTAGAAGGTAATGCCATTAGTGCCCTCAACGAGGAGAGGAAACGAGGCGACGAGATGGAGGTCAGGTTGAATCAGGCTCAGGCATCGCATGACAAAAGAATAGAGGATGTAAAGGCAGAGGCAAACACAAAGCATGATCAGAAAATTGCAGAGGAAAGGAAACGTATCACTAGTGAATTCGAAGCTTCCTATGCACAGACAGTTGAACATGCAAAGAATGCCATAGCTGCCACAAAGAAGCAATATGAAGATCAGGCTGCAATTGATCAGGCCAGGTTCATCAGTTTGAGGACTGAGTTTGAGAACTACAAGAAGGAGATGGCCGACAAGATCAACGAGGCAGCGGCTCAGAACCTTAGCCTTCAGGACCAAATCGATGATCTTCAGGAGCAGTTAAAGCATGTTGCCAAAGCGCAGCATGCCTCCGTTCCGAAAGCATCCGTCCAGAACGCCGAGCCGGCCGCTACCACTAGCGTGCCCCACTTCAATATTGCCACTCCCAAAGCATCCGATGCACAGGCTGCCAGAGGCAGTGATGAGCCGATTCTTGAGTTTAAGACGCCTGCAGTGTTGGCGCAGGAAGCAAAGGCCAAGTTGGATGAACTGCTCAAAGGTGGCAGTCCCAAGCAAAAGCCGGCTGTCGGCAACGACCAGCCCCAATTGCCAACGCAGTCAGGGTTTTTCACTCCCACTGAAGCTATCAAAACTCCCCCAAATGAATCTCCTAAGAGCGCAACCAAGCAACAGCAAGTTATGGGTCCCTCAGATCTTATTGAATTGGTGAAAGCCTTAACCCAAAGGGAAGAAAAGGATAAGCCAAAAACTAAGGAGGCTGAACTCATCAAGCTGAACAACATGCCCGCTCCGGAGTCATATAGAACTTGGAAGAATCACGTCAGGGATGAAGTGAAGAGCTGTTCAGATCGCCCGGATGAGGCGTGGCTCTGGCTCAACGAGGTGTACGATCAAGAGTGCACCAGAGAGCAGTTGGAGAAGAAACTCCAAGATCCTGGAAAGTTCCTTACGCTGGATACAAAGTTATCAGCAGCGCTCACGCGCTCAGCCGGAGGGGACCTCGCAACTAGGATCTTGAATTTCAAGGAGCAGCAATCCCGAAAAGGCATCCAGGTCAGGGGAAGATATGTTCTGCTTATGTTTGAGGACTACTTCAAGACATCAGAAGAAGCAGGTAGCCTTTACAGAGTAGAAGATCTTTTGGGTGTTGTCAAAGTAGGCGATACTGTCCAGGATCTCCGAAGATTCATCAACAAATGGGATGCTACCCTAGCTGGCATGGCTGTCACCCCTGATGATGCTGTGTTAAGGGACATCTTGTTGAGGCAGATCCGACCAAGTCAGTTGCTGAAATATGACATCGAGGTGTTTGACCGTGCTCATGAGAAATCCCATGAAAAGTCTTACAGTTTTCTTCACCAATCCATGAAGAACTTGATCGATCGTGAACGATTGAGGGAGAACAGGAACCGCATTGCGGAGAAGAACAAGGCTGGGATTAAGGACACAAAGGCCGCACCCGCCAAAGGCGATGGTCGCGGCGGCCGAAAGGGCTCTCCAAGTCGCGGTAGATCGCAGGAACGAGGTGGCAAAGGCGACAAGATTTGCTATAAGTTCCAAAAGGGTACCTGTGATAAGGGGAAGAAGTGTCCATTCAAGCATGTCAAAGATGATAAATCTCGAACTCAATCACCCAGAAGAACCAAAACACGTTCACCATCAAGGGGCAATAAGGATGATAAGGGGAAGAAGATGTCTAAAGAAGAAATGGCTAAAACCCCATGCATCTATCATGCCCAGGGAAAGTGCAGACGTGGTGACAAATGTTTTTATAAACATGATGACAAAGCCGCTGCCGCCACCAAAGACACCAAAAGGGCCAATTCACCCGCTCCCAAGAAGAAGGGCAAGGATTCCACAGCCGCTCCATGTCTGATCCACAAGTTTGCATGCATCGTCCGAAAACAGCCGAAGGCAACTTCGTGCTCTGATGAGGCAAGTGTCAGCATGAAGCGTCTTAGATTCCGAAAGGCCCCACATGTGATCGAGGTGAAGGCAGTCGGTCGTCAAGTCCCAGTCAAGCACCGTCCAAGAGAGTTCACTAAGGTGTACAAGACAGCTGAAGATGTTCCAGTTTCATCGAAGGTTGAACAGCATGAAGCTCAGGTTCGTGCAAGACAGCTCCAAGAAACTGTGAAACTTCATGATTCAGATGTTGCACCAAGTTGTGGGTTTTGTTGTTGGGATGAGGACACACGTGACATCACATGCAAAGAGTGCAGGTTCATCAGCGGTCCCAAAGCCCTTAGAGACATTGGTCGTTTCCCGTCAATTGCCACAGCTGCGCCAAAGGCCGGTGTTAGTTGGCTCGTTGACTCAGGTAGTGAATCCGATCTTGTGTCCAAAGGAATGCTGAGGGATGTAAGTGCCAAGAACTGCCGTGCAGCCGAGCATCCGATTTCCTTAGTCACAGCCAACGGTTCGACTGAGGCAAACGAAGTTGCTGATGTCAAGTTGTCCGCATTGCCAGATCCCGTGCATCCGTATGTGCTTGATCATACCCCAGCTGTGCTCTCTGTAGGAACGAGATGTGTAGATCAGGGTTACAGTTTCGTATGGCCTGCCAATGGCAAACCAATCCTAGTCCGTCCAGATGACAAGGTTGTCCAGCTCAAGATCGAAGGTCATGTCCCAATCTTGGATGATAGTTGCAAGGTTTATCCCAAAGATCAATTTCAAAAGGATAAGCACCTCAAAAAGTTGTTTGCAATGCCGACCTCACGGTCGAGCTCAAAAGCCAAGCGGGACGAAGCCCAAGATGAAGAGCAGTTGGATGAGTTGGTGGAGGATGACGCTCAGCAGGAGTACATCCGAAGCCGCAAGACTGAGGATCTGTTGGCTGAAGCTGCAAGTACCCAACATCAGTACACGCATTTCCCCAAGAACCCCTTTTGCAGAACTTGCCAACGAGCAAGGATGATGGCACCTCAGGCACGAAAGAAGGGTGGTCAGAAGAGAATCGAAACTGAAGTGTTTGGTGACCACATCATTGGGGATCATGTCATCATCAAGAAAAATGTAGAAGAGGGTTTCAGGGGGGAGCAAGTTGCGTTGGTGTTGAAAGATCTGCACACCCAATATCGGTATGTCTACCCTAGCCAGTCCAAGGACTCACAAAGCTGTGTTGATGGTTTGAATCACTTCATTGGATCAAAGGATGATGTTCAAGTTGTGTACACTGACAATTCCCCAGAATTGATCAGGGCCATTAAGGATTTGGGTTACAGACACCAAACTTCCATTGAATACGTAGATTCATCAAAGTCTTTTGCTGAGCGCGAAGTTCGTCAGATGTTGGAAGGTGCCCGGAGCAACTTGTTGCAATCAGGACTTCCTTTGAAGATGTGGCCATTGGCCATGCAGCATCATGCGACCGCGATCAATGCAAGCCCCCAGCTTGACGGCAGTGATTCCCCATGGCAACTCAGGTTTGGTGAAGAGTTCCCTGCAATGCACATTCCATTTGGTGCCAAAGTGTTGTTCTGGAATAACCCCAAGAGGTTGGATAACACATCAGGTAAGCTCTCCCCAACAGCAAATGAAGGAATTTTCCTTGGGTATTACATCCAACCAGGTCATGATTGGAAGGGTGAATACTTAGTTGCCAAGTTGGAAGCCGCAGATTATCATGTCAACTGGGGTGCACTGACAATCCAAAGAACAAAGAGGTTGGAATTGCCATCCGAGGGTTTCATCTTTCCTTTGAAAGCTCTGATCGACTCAAAAGCACCCAAAGCCGATCGCCTCGAGGACCAGGTCATTCCGCAGACACCCAAAGCTGTGCCTCTTGAGTCCAGTTTGCATCCACCGCAAGATGAGTATGAATACGAGCCAGGTACGCCTCTACCAGCCGACAGCGATGTCGAGCCTGATGCACCCGAAGCGCCCGTATTTCCAGATCTCAAACTGACCCCCAAAGGTGAAATTATTCCAGATGGACATCATTGGGATGGTCACCGGATTGTACGTAACTACAAAGGTTCAAAGCGTCCGGAGGGGATTGACTCAGAACTGTGGAAGATGTTAGGACCCCAAGATAGGAAGCTGATCATCGAGGAAGAAGCGAAGAAAGCAGCCAAGGAGCAGGAGGAAAAGCCAGCATCATCATCTGGCAGCAAGGGCAAAAAGAAGAAATCTTCACCGGCCCGGCTTGAGGCAACTCAATGCCCTCCTGCAACTGCAAAGCTCGTAGGCAATGTTTGGGAAATCATTCCAGCCAATTCCCAAAAGTTTTCCGTGCCGGCAATGCCAAAAGTTGCCG